GGCAAAAAATCCGTATATACAAATTTATCATATAGACCTTACTTAGATTTGATTTACATAGTGCATTGGACACCCCACCGATCCATGCATATGACAAAATAAGTCAATAATCAGCCTTACAATATTGAACCCCCAAACTTTGTCGGCATAATATTCGAAGATTTTTTTTTTTCTATTAAATTATATAAGAATTATCTCGGACATTTTTCTGCATCTTATCACTGATTTCATATGATTCTGGGACGCCATCAAAAAAATAATTCGTGATTTATTATAAAATTTAATGTGATTTATACAGGATATTCCAATATAAGTTCTAGAGGTAGAGTATAAAATAGCTATTGAATTATAAAGTTTATCATCAAGATGACCAAGGAAAAATTTAGTGCTGTTTGGGATACTAAATTACAGCAGTTTCACGCCGGTCAAGACTGGAAATTTTTGGATAATTTTATAGAAGATTTTTCAGTAACGACTAATGGTTTAGGAATTCCAAAATCTGCATTAGAAGCATCTATAGAAGCCGTAAGCTGGATAATTTTATTTTATTTTTTTTAATGTAAATTTAAATCATTTCAATACAATAAGAGTTAATTTGCCTTTCAGTGCTTCACCTGTCATCATTATCCTTCAGCGGATCAAGAGCCAGCTAAAACGTCACTTGCACAGTTTCTTTGGCCTGATGATTATAAAAAACATTCTAATAGATTACTTCTTGGAAATGGTGCAAGCGAGTTAATCGATTTGGTTATAAGGTCTGCACCTAATGGTACATGGAAACCAGGACCGTGGGACGTTCAAGTAAGTTTTTTTTTTGAATTTGAATTTGGATTTGGATTTGAATTTGAATTGACATTCCCAATCACTAACATTATTAACATTAATTGTATTATTATGTTCTAAGTATAAAGAATATCAACGATCTGCAGAAAATAGTGGTCGAATTATTCTAAGTCCTCAGGATACTACTCGAGCAACACTTTCATGTATTGTTAATCCCTGCAATCCTACGGGTGATTATAAAAATGTTGCAGAAATGAAGAAATGGATTCTCGATAATGTAGAAGAAGGGGGTGTGGTTTTAGTCGGTATGCATTCTTCTTATTTTCATTTCCTTTCAATACAAAATTTTAATTAACTCAACTATCAAATTTCAAAAAAGATGAATCGATGCAACCCTGGCTATCTTCAGATTTTCGTTCCGATTCTCTAATTTCTCAATACGATTTTGCGCTCTCTCTTTACAAAACAAAGAATATATCACTTTACATAATTCATTCATGGACAAAGTTCTGGTCTTGTACTGGATTACGTCTTGGTTCAGTAGTGTGTCCTACTTCAAAGCATTTTGATGCTTTGAAAAGAATTCAAGTTCCCTGGAGTGTAAATTCACCTGCACTTGCGTTTTTGAATACGGTGGTTGGGGACCAGAGTTATATGGATCGCACATGGAAACTTACATCAAAATGGCGAGCTGAGTTAATCGATAGATTGAAGGTTATTTCAAATTCTATTGTGATGTTTCACAATGATTCAATGCTTGCATGGGAATTTTATGGAAGCGACTTTTTATCGTGGGTTTGGATTGATATGAAAACTGTCAAGATTTCTGAGGATGCTGTGGACAGAGCTAAAGCTGCCGGTGTACCAGTTAGGAGTGGGAAACCTGGGTATAATAGACCGACTTATGTTAGAGTGGCAGTTAGAGAGCCTTTAAAAGTTGATTTTTTGATTCAAGCCTGGAAAAATCTTGGGATCCAATGAGTGTACAAGCTGCAAAAAACAATTTATTTTAACTAATAGGAAATTTTTAATCATGTATTTCTTCTACTAACATAGTAATATTGGAAACAAATTACATTACCAGTAAAACTTCATTTTTGATAATTCATTAAAAAATTAGATTATATCCCCATTATAATTTCTTTGAAAATTACAAAAATCAAAATATAAATTAATCACGTGCTAAAAATCATTCTACTTAATCCTAGTCATTATATCAAATTTAAAATACCTTGGATCATATGAACTTCTTTTCGCCAATACCCAATTGCCCAAGATTAGTAATAATAATCCCCGTGATCTTGGCATAGTGATCGGGAGATTATTATTATACAGTCAACCCTCCATAAGTGCACCCCCTTGGAACCATAGGCAAAATTGTCAAAAATGTGCATTTAAAGAGGGTGTTCATTTATGGAGGGCATTTTATTAAGAGTCCTATATGTTTGGGACTGAATATTAGTGTGCATCTAGAGAGGGTATATATAGTGCGTGCATTTATATTTATGGAGGTTGACTGTATTCAACATTAAAAAAAAAAATTTTCCTAACAACCCAGCCATTAATCTCACAAGTAATTTATAACGCCCTATTATTGCCACATATAAAAGTCAAAGTTAATAGTATGAACCCAACCCGACATTTAAGTTTTAAGTATATGGCTTCTTGACAAGTATTTAAAATTTGCAAAAAATAATATGTAACTTTGTAGTCGGGAATAAGATCTATAGAGTTACGTATCTCTTTCTGAGAATTTATAATTAGATCTGTAGATACAATTTATAATATATATATCTGATATATATATATATATATTTATAACAGATATTTTTGAAGACTAATAATAATTGGCAAAGTACTTTGAGGATAGCATTTACATTTTGTCTATACAAAAGAACCTATTTTTTTTCGTATAGATGTAAACCAAAAGCATTTCTGCCTTTTCCAGATTTTACCGATTGAGACTGGAGGCTCACGGTGTTTTTTCCGGGTGATAAGCAAATATGTTATCGAAAGAAACATATGAGATTTTGAATTTCTTAACACAATTTTTTGTGGTTGAAGGAACATGACGTGTAATGAGGCGAGCTGGTAAAAAATTTATCGATCGTATAATACATTCCGATTAGGGATGTTAAATTGCGAATCCAGTCCTAGGATCTAAAAAGATGGACCTGGATTCGGTCCTTAACATAACGATAATACATTTTATAGGACTTAGATCCTGTATCATTTGAATCCAATAAGTCCATCCAATCAAATTAATTTTGTATTGTTTCGTGTTTTCATGTGATTTAAGGATCGAATCCCTACTGATCCTTGAAGGATCGGACCGGACCGGTTAGGACTCGATCCTAAAGGACCGATTAACATCCCTAATCACGATCGATAAAAATCACGCGATTTGAAAAAAAAAGTCTGTGTTACATGATAAGAGGTTTCTCTCCGAAATATTTCTGTAACGATAAGGTTTACCTGTGTATTTATCATTCATATATACTAATCAATTTTTTTTTACGAATATAATCAGATTTCATGACGAGACAAGGCTAAAGTTGATGTACTGGACGTGTCAATTATGCGATCAAAGTAATGACATTGTTTTGATGTACCAGCTTTCGCTGATAATTGGCGGTGATTTCTTGATGTATATGTAATAATACACTGCTTTTTTTGAGGGGAAAAGATTGTTCGAAAAAACATTAGGCCATTTTCGGATAGAGTTATCATGTATCGGGGTGTTTTGTAATACACATAATAATCATTAAGTATTTAAAGTTTTGAGTTTGAGTCCTAGCTCTCGAAGCAGGGTTAAAACGACACATAGTACTGTAGTATACGGCGGCCATTTACTGCGCCCCTGCCCAGTATCATTTTTGATACATCAAATTTACGAGTAATAAAATTTTAATATAATATAAATCAAAAACGACACTTATTGAATGGCCGGTATTTACTATGTGTCGTTTTAGCCCTGTCTCGAAGGTGATTTGGAATGACTATATATGAATCCTCATAATACCAAACATATCTTAGAACAATCCAATTTTCTTCAGAGTTCTTTTTTGATCCGATTACGTATTAATTGCTCCTTAAAGTCTTTTTCATTTTTGTGAAAATCTTTTACGTATTACTCATGTTGTTTGCCTTGTACTTCTATGGCAAATCCATACTATGGATAGTAGATATCAAGCTCTAATCCTCGAGGATACTCTGGTGTTTTCAAGAAATCTGGTCAGCGAATATCAGAGGTTGGGCCAAGAATATTTGTTATAACGTCACGGCATAGCTTTTCGTGTTTGTTTAAGCAATGTGGACACCGTGTTTTCGCATGTTTTATACCATTAAAACTCATAAGTCAAAAAGAAATTAACTAGATATCGATAATACACAATCGCGTAAAAATAAAAAAAAACTGGGCGCCCACAACCCCCTTTATTTCATAAAAAATTGAAAATTGTTGCACACGACATACAAATAATTTTATCGTACAATAAACAAATTTTTACTTCCGCCTCGGTAATGGTTCCACATGCATATGTTGATATCAATATCGCGCGTATAGGCCGATATTTTTTAAAGCGAGAAATTTTTCATGCACATTTTAGATAAAATATAATTAATTATTAAAACAGAACTCATAAACAGCAAGTAGGATGAGCTGGAGGATTAAAATTACAGCAAGTTAGACTGCAACATGCTCCTGGATTACCAAGATCACATGGACCTCCATCGGGAACACATGTAGGTGCACAAACGGTCGTAGTAGGTGTGCAAGTTACTGTTGTTGTTTGTTCGCATTTATCGCAATCATCAGGCACCTGTTCGTTATCAGGGCAAGCGCTCAAGGTAGGTGTTCCTGTTGAACAGGTTATAGTGGATGTTACTGTTGCAGAACTAATATCAGTGATAGTACATGTTCTAAGAGATTGCGGATGATATATATGATATTTATGAGATTTATGAGATTTATGAGATTTATGAGATTTATGAGGTTTATGAGATTTATGAGATTTATGTCTAGCATGTTTAGCATCGATGGTTAATGCTAACAAATGAATGAGAAAAATAATAAAGAGTGAATTGAAGAATTGTCTATTCATCATTAACTTTTATTCAAGTAACATACTTTATTCATGAAATACGCTTTAATTTATCAATAAATTTTTGAAAAATTCTTGTTATATAAGATGTATTAATTTAATGAAATACAGTACAGTATTTAAATTTAATGTAAAAAATTAACGCGGGGAACCAATATGAGGCCTAACTTTTAGAACTGCAAAGCATAAATATTAAAAAAAAAAACTATGCATTATCGTATGTCGGTACGTAATATTGGATGCATGTTCAATTACACTGTTGTAGCATAAATAATATGTAAGTAATAATAGATAAAACTCCTGAAATTGGGATCGCTATCTGTGCATATTGGAAAAAGAACAAAAAATACATTGGGCTACTACTTGTATGGAAAATAATTACTGTGGTTTAAATTACGAAGAATATCTAAACATTATCAGTTATGCAAAAACCTGAATCTGCGAAGAGATCTATGCATTACATCATTATAAGTTATGGATGAAAAATGCGATTAAAAAGATTCAGTATGCGAAAGAAGTAGCAAAGAAGATTCGAACTATAAATATCATAAAACAAAAATGGATTGAGCACTCACTATTACAGGCCCGATGGTTTATGTGCTACTGAGATTGTAAATCATTACAAGATATTGTGGACTATTTGAAAAGAAAAGCAACAGGTTAATAAAGTATAATCATATTATATTATTTATATAAATTATTTACTGTATGCTAACTATTTATCAAATATTTGATTTTTTTGTAGAAAGTGCATGAATATACATATATAGTGTACTGTACTGAAGATAATTTAGTACTGTATTTTATAAAATTTCGAAATGATACAGTACAGTACGAAAAATACATATATATATAGCTCTATATAAAAAGATAATTTAGTACTGTACTGTATAAAATTTCGAAATGGTACAGTACAGTACATCGCTTATAATAGTGCAACGATCGCTACCCATGTTACACAATTGATTACACAAATTTAATAAACTATCATTATTACATTATCGTTATTATGTAATTTTTATTTTTACGAATTTAGTCAAATGTTGATTTGTAATACATTCTCTTCTTGTATGTACATATG